TCTTTGAAGTGGCAGTGTGTGGTTATGCACCTCTGAGGTCTCCTCTATGCAGAATGCATTCATAAAAGGAAACGAACTGATGGTGTCCACTCACACACACAAACGTAGCATTCTCATTTACACATTCGCAGTATTTAACTCATCACATAGTGCCCACAAATCCAAAACAATAATATAAACACACAAAATGCAACAGGTTTACCATACACCTAGTGATCCAAACATTTCACTGAAAACAAAAATGGCTTTACCTGTCATCTCTGCTGGTGATGTCAAAGGCTTTGGACAGATGTTTGAGCCTCTTGAGTCCACTGGAAACTGACTCCAAATCTTGGCCAAACTTTCTGTAACAACAGAAAAAAGTCAGGACCAATTAAACAACATGTAAATGCAACTTGGTAGCTGGTTATGAAGTTCTGACGAAGACTCACAGCCTCTGGTTCTGTGTACTGGGTGAGGCAAAGGGACTTCGTAATGCAGCCATGCGGACCAGCTGCCTCCTTCCTCTTCCTGTTTTAACCCCCCGCACACCAGCCTCAGGAGTCCTTCCTCTAGAGCTTGGAGTACGCCCAGGTGTGGTTGCAGATCTGGGGGTACGTCTAGGTGTTGCAGTTTGGCCAGGTGTACGTCTTGGGGTACGAGATACTGACGTACCACATTCTACCCCATCACCCGTCTTGCCAGGGGTTGCTACCAGACACTCCTCACGTGAAAACTCTCTGGTCCTCTGTAACCGCTTGGTGAAAGAGAAAAGAACACAAAAGAATTAAAAAAAAGTTTTAAAAAAGCAACTTGATTTCCACTTCCAGCCAAAGTAAAACCATACCAATCTATCTACCTGATATACTCCACTGATGGAGTTTCGAGCACTGCGAGTCAGTCTGCGGACTGTGCTAGGTTTTGGCTGCTCCTTTAGGGTTTCCCAAGTTGGATTCTCCGGGAGAGAGCTAGTGTGGATAGAACGTAGCGGGAGCCGCTTTCGCAAAGACATTCGCAAAGAGTTTAGTGAAGATGAGGATGGAAGCTTGCGGAAATGGTCAGGGGCTTCTGGGGAACTCTCTGGCCCATCAGATTCATCAAGAACTGTATGTGCCCGCCAGACTCCCACTACAGCTCTGCCAAATCCATCCATCAGTGAAGATGCCATGTTGATTTAAGTTACCTGCAAGAAGGGAGTAGAGAAATAACAGAAGATTAGTATTAAATAATTTTAAAATAAAATGGTGATGGACAATGACCCCAGATCCCAGTCAAATTTCAGTTACAACACATCAGTAATCAACAACATTTTATATTAAATGATAAATGTAAGTCATTAATTTATATTTAATAATTAATAATTAAAGTTATTTAACAAGCAAAACGGTCTTGTATGGCTCCAGCTTCTCAAATGTGAGAATTTGCTGCTATTCTTTGTTTTATGCTATTGTACATTTAGTGTATTTAGGTTTTGGACTGAATTTCTTGTGCCCTGCCCTTTTCAATAGAACCGAAGTTGGTTCCATCCAGAACACGATCAGAGCTGCGAATAACAGGGGTTTAACTCTGTCAGTTAACGTTAAGCGACAGTCGGAACCATAAAGCTTTAACATCTTCACGTAATACCATTCCCAATCAAAGGTCTGTCATTATCACTTACAAACAAAAGAATGCTGTTAACAGCTAACACTAGCTAGATAACGTTGATATTCCAGTTAACACTAAAAGAAGTCTAACGCGAACATCTTAGAAAAACACAAAAGAAGACGAACTGTCCGACCGCCTACTAAAACGCCAGCTTACCTGAAAGTTGTGTGAATCTTCAGTCTTGTTGTACACTTCTACTACCTGTTACTCTTCTTTCTTTCACTAGTTTAAATTTGGCGGTAGACCACGCAGGCAAACATAACGCCCTTCACGCAAAGCCCACGGAATGACGTAACGCGTTACGTCTCGGCGTGCGGGTCTATTTTGATTAATGCTGAACATGTATTTGAATTGCTGTTTGGGAACTGCATTAGATATATTAATTTTTTAAAATGAAAAACAACAGTTGTCATAAATCTTAGTTTTCCACAAATTGAAATGATCACAAAGAAAACCAACATATATCAATTTTAGACTGATATGAGACATCATTTTAATAACAATGGTCACCAATAATCAAAAAATACTTTGTACTATGTTTCATGTTTTCACAGAAGTTTTTCTTGTTTGTGTGTGTGTGTGTGTGTGTGTGTGTGTGTGTGTCTGTGGACAGTCCATGGAAAGTATCTGTTTCACACAAGAGTTATAGTTTTTCCAAGTATGTTCCAGTGCAGTTCAATAGAATAGTCATGCAATAAAGCTTATCTTTACAAGGTATAAACCTTATAATGCTAGGTTTTTATTGACTTGGTGTCAGAGAGGTTTTGATTCAACTTGCCAAATTATGAGGTCTGTTACTAGTGTTGCTGGATTATTGTACTGAGAGAATTAGATACCTTGTTTATTGGATTATTAAGACTGTGATAAACACAATTTAACATGGTCCAGTGTAAAAGTGCCTCCACATCATAATGTCAATATTTTAGTGTGTATAGCCTATTGTGTGGGGTTGTGCTAGGCCTTAAAATATTGTAATCGACCAGCAGATGTCACTACAGGCCTGTGTGTGAAATGCTTTCAAGCAGTGCTGTGAGGACTTTGTCATAATCACCTGTTATATTTAGTATGTGGCGATTTAATAGATTTAAAGAGGAATGAACAAGCCTGTGTTTCTACTTTTCTTTAACAGCTGAACTATTTGTTCAATTATGTCTTATAAAACAATTACACAGAATGAGCTTCCAGAAAACAGACTGAACATTATGACAGCATATGCATGACAGCATAGTTACGTGACACAAAGCAAAGATCAGTGTATTGTTCACAGCCATTAAGGAGCATGCAGAAGATATAACATCTCCTTGTCTGTGCTATGGATTCAGTCATTAGGATGTGATCACAACTGCAATTTGTCTTCATATGAATGTAGAATATTTTGTGAGACACATTGTCATTTTATACTATGATGAGCACATACATAGCTGAGAAAGACCCGTCTTTTCAGTACTCTTTTAAAATGTGTTTTGTAGCTGACAGCGACTTCTTAAAATGTCCTAGCAGTGATCAGTTGGACGTTACATTGTTAATGATTACTGACATTTGGACAAGATCAAAGGTGAAGAGGGGTCATATAAGTACATTTTTAACAAGAGATTCAAAGCTGCAGGCACAGTTCAGCAGACTCCACAATAAAGCCTTGACTCAAACAATAAGCTTGCCATTATATTATACATTTGAGCTCCTCTTGACTAAGCTGATATCACACCTGTGTATTTTTGTAAAATGTGCTGTCACCGTCATTTGGTATTGCACTGTTTTATGTGAACCTGTTTAGTGTTTTTTTTATTGGTAATAGCATAAAGATGAAGACCTTGATCCTCCTGAAATGGGCCCTGTCCTTGTCCCCATCTCATTAAGAGTAAATGTATAACATGATTTTAACGAGCTTTGTTGAGTCAAGGGTTAAAGTTCTAAAAATGAAATGTGGAAACTAGCGTTCAAGATTTTGACTCTGAATTAGTCTTTTGATGGACATTTATTAGACACACCTATTTATTCTGTTGGTTGGTTTTATCAGTTTGACAGATATATATCTGAAACCCACATTTGAAGGTCTAACAGCATCATTGTAAGGATTGTAAAGTGTCTTGTTTTTAAAGAAAGGTTACTTTTCTTTTATCTTATATAGTTTTAGCCAGTTAGCTTGACAAGTTTCTTTCTGACCACTTAAAAATGAGTAGGTGGATTAATTATATGATTTATGAATTTATCAGACAGACAATATGTGGACAACACACAAAATATACTTGGGTAACTGGATATATCCATTTATCATTCATTAGCAAGTAGGAAATAATAGCAATAAGGATGTCTGTCAGTGTGTCATATGTAGTAACTATTAAAATTATCTTAAATAATAAAACCTTAGATGTTTCAAAAGCCATGTTATATGCAAATTTTTACCATGTGCTGGAAAGAGGATCTTCATTAACTATACTAATCAAGTGTCCCCAGATTCTCTCCTTAAACAACTCTTATATGGAACATGTGGTTTCTATCTTTTCTGTCCTCAGAAGAATGATCCATCCATCCATCCATCCATTTTCCTCCTCTTATCCGGGACCGGGTCGCAGGGGCAGCAGTCTAAGCAAAGATGCCCAGACTTCCCTCTCTCCAGACACTTCCTCCAGCTCCTCCGGGGGAATGCCAAGGCATTCCCAGGATAGCCGAGAGACATAGTCCTTCTAGCGTGTCCTGGGTCTTCCACGGGGCCTCCTCCCGGTGGGACATGCCCGGAACACCTCCTTAGGAAGGCGCCCAGGAGGCATCCGAAACAGATGCCAGAGCC